TTTTTTTTTTCTTTTGTGTAGAGCGATAACATTAGTTTTGTCTTCTCAATTTTGCTTAAGCTATACCTATAAATAATTTACTGAGAAAATCCTGGCATAAATTAAAATAGTTTTAGTTAAAAAAATTTTCTAGCATCTTTGCTGCCATTAGTGCTGCTTGTTTGTTTCGTTTTGTTCTATTCTTTTTCATTTTTCATTACATTTAGAATACCATAATGACTGTTGTTAATATTTTTCAGTGGAGGAATGCTGTAAGACTGAGTTGTTTGTTTGGTTGTCTCAGCTTTTGCTTAATTCATTTGTCAAATAAATAGAAGAAAAAAGACGAAAAGAAAAGTGGCAGAAAGAAAAGTGTGGAAGAAACTTTTGTTAATTTATTTTTACTGACTTTTCAAACCTAAAATTAATGGTAATTTAAACCTTCTTTATTACTCTCTTTTTAATCAGATTAGATTCAGTTTTTTAAAAATCTATTATTTATTTGTTCTTGCCATAGTTTTCTTTGTCTTTCATTACCGTTGTCATAATTTTCCGGATTAGTATAAAGAATGCTTCTTTTTTCTTTTTTTTTTCTCTATTTTTGTCTTCAGTTTCATCTAATAATTGTTTTTTAGCTTTTGGGACAGAAGACGACTGCATTTTAGATGCATCTTTCTTTGGCATTTATTACTTAATTGGTTTATTTTTTTTGACGTCCAAACTTGCTATTTGATTGCATTCGCTTTTTTTTTTTTTTTTTTGATTTTATTTGGAGGAGAATTCAAAGGTTCTATGGTTTTTTTTTAATTTTTTTCTCCTCTTTTTTCGGTATTTTTTTACTATGTTCTGGCACCATCTTTAACAAGAATATGTCTGTTAAGTACTTGCAGAACAGCAGTACACCTTTAAAATGATATGCAGTTGCTAAAAATAACTTTATGAAAAAGCATCGTTTATTTCCCGTTGTCTTTTTTTCTTCTTAATTTACTGATTTTTTCATCTAAAAATAATCTTTTTGTATTACTTGCAACACATGTATTATACGTAGTCCTTGGGAAGCTGAGAAAAAAAAAAACTGGACTTGCTTTTGTTTTCTGTCCAACTTGCTTAGTTTATGAGTTCAGTTGCACTTTTTTACAATAAAACACAACAATGTTCACCACTTTCTTATGTTCTGCTAAAGACCGCTATGTAAAACTGGGCGTTCGGAAACAAAGAATTGGCATGATGAGGTCGGTGAATGATAAGAGTGACGACAATGATGCTGAGGATACCGACAGTGATGACGATGACAAGCGATCGGGTTGAGTGGATTGATAGGGATCAAAGAAAGTAAAACTGCCCGGAAAATCAACGGCATGCTTAAGTATTCCCGTTGCTAACTTTAAACAACATCCGAAATGTAGCTCGTTAAGATACCACTTGTTGTCCGTCAAAATCCGATTACTCATTCAATTCAACAGCTCTTGTTTGTTTTGTTTGTCTTTTTTTTCTGTTTGTTTAACTTTCTAAAAATAGATTTTGAAATCAAAACAGAAGTTGGCAAGGAAAAAAGTCGGTAACTGAAAAAAATGTCTTTTTTTTTTTGTGTAACACATTAAATGCGAGAAAGCATTAGGTTGTTGAGGTGAGAAGCAGAAATAAAAGAAATAAATGCAACAGCATATGTATAAATCTGTATTATATAAGTTGTTGTTGATTCTTCTCTTTGGTTTAGTATATTTTATTTTAGAATGAGATGAAAAAAAAACAAAAACAGTTGTATTCCAAAGGGTTTTAACACGCTATTTCGTCTCAATTATCACTTCAGGAATTTGAACTTGAATTCGATGTATCTAATCTAGAAAAAAAAAGCACCTGCACATCGTCTACCTCTCCTCTTCAGTTCGTTTTATGCTCTGTTTTTTATAACTGTATTTTGCAACAAAGCACAAACCACTGAAGTGTAAAAGCAGAAAAATGAAAATTCTTATTCTTTATTCAAAAATTTTTTTTTTATAACATAGGCTTAATTGACTCATCAATGTCTGTCATTTTTTCCTTCGCTTTTTCTATTCAAATGAACATTGTTCCTTAAAATTGATAGGCTACGTTCAATACTAGACATTGTTCTGCTGAAATAGGTTACCAAGCTTAATGATTGGTAGAAATAACCCATCCTGTGTTATGTGTTCTCAGATGTTGTCTCCGGAAACTGTAAGCTACAGATTTGTGTTTGTGCTGATGTCGTCCTGATTGTCGTTGTTGGAGTCATCAGTTAGTCACTAAGTCAGTCAGTCAGTCAGTCAGTCAGTCAGTCAGTCAGCATCTATCCTTTCTTCAGACATATCACATCTTCTTCAGTTTACAAAAAGAAAAATATAAAAAAAAAACAAGAAGAAGAACAAACTGAGTAAAAAACTTTTTTTTTGTTTTTTTATGAAGAGAATATAAACACGGAAAAAAGAAAAAAATATTTTTATAGTCTGTTTGTTTTTATATTCTCTTCTAATCGGTTTTTCCTCTTTTCAACAACAAATGTTAAATTCCGGCATAGGTATATTTTTGTTGTGGTGTAAATTGGTGACGAAGGGAATAATTGAATCGATGGGGAAGCAAGTGAGTGAAATTGCTAAGTGATTCCCCAACTAGATTGAACTTCTGTTAAGCACTGGAAAGGCTAAAAAACTTTCTTCTTTCTTCTCTTTTTTTTTCTTCGTTCTTAGATTTAAGTCAATTTTTTATCTAACACCTTTGCATTGATCTACATAAATGACAACAGTAAATCCCCATTCTTCAAGTGCACTTTTTTTCTTTTATATATTTGGCTGTCTAAATAACTATTCAAACTTGGAAGAGGAATCAGGTGACCATGACAAGGCAGATGCTCAAAGATTTGGTGAAACAGGGTTAAACCTAAACTTGAGCTGGAAAAAGGTGTTTTTTTTGCTTAGGAAAACAGTATTCTTTTTGCTAACAAGTCTATGAAATTCATTTAAAACGTTGTTCAATAGATTCTTGACGAACTGAATTGAGAGATATGAAAAGCGTTGGTGAAGATACTGCATTTTATTATTGCTCTCATCTTTTCTTGCCAAAAAAATGAAAGGGAAAATATTCAGATTATCAATCGTCTTAAATTGCTAAAATACCAAAGAATAATCATATCTTACCCATTTTTTTTAAGTTAGGATTATAACTTTTTTCTCAAATTGAAAAGTTCTTCCACTATTCTATTATAATATGACTGCAACATCGGACAACAAAAAAGGAAGAAAAAAACTATAGAGTACCCACTTTGTCACTGCTGCAAGGAGATTTTTTTTAAAACGACAAATTTTATACAACTAAAATAGCCCTTTTTTATTTTCGCTCAGTCTTAGCTCAGCCAGCTTTTTTTTGTTACGCTTAGATTATCAATATGACTTCACATTCTCTCATCAGTTTCTTTTTTGCATCTGTCAGCATTTGGACGACCTAAATGATTTTTTGGAGTCATGGGGATAAACGGTATGGGAGAAACACTTAATTTTTATTAGCGAAAAACTGATTGAGAAACGTATTTGAGCCTGCTTGTAATATCAGTTTCTGTAGAAAAATTCACCTCATTCATCTAATGATATCCTTCTTTTTGCACCATTGTTTACTGTTGACTGCTAACTAGTGGTTTGTTGCTATATTTTAAACACCATCTGAAATGCGTAAAACAAAGATGGCATCTAAAAGGTGCCGGCTAGGCAGATTTGTAAATAATGATGGATGAATGGGTGAGAAAAATACAGAGAAGCAGTTTGGTTGTAAGAGCATTCTTTAAGAATTCTTAATATAAATATATATATATATATATATATATATATATATATATGTTTTTGTTGCTTGGGAAACAATCGATTCCTTCATTAACATTCACTATCGGCAATTGGTCGAAACGTTTTCGCTGTGGAGAGTTTCATCGTCTATTTGCTTAGTTTCCTCAGCTAAAATCGATTTAATTTCTCCTATGGAAAACCGAAAGTTTATTTGCGGATGTTGAGCAAAGAAAACTTTTTTTTTTTTTGTTTATTCTCTAATGCAGCCCAACAGCACTATTGCTAAAAAGCTGTTTTTTTTGTTGTTGTTGTTGTTGTATTTTGTATCAGAGAAATGACGATGAATATGACAAATTTAACAACAATGACAAGAGCAGGAACAGTAATTATACAGAAGAAAGTGAAATTGAAGAAAAAAAAAATTGGCGTAATAGAAATGTTGTTTTTTTTTTTTTTTTTCAATGTCTAAATGAGTCGTTCAATAAATTCTGAAATGATTTAATGAAGTAAATACCCGTCTAATAGGTTTTAATAATTAATTAGGGAAAAATTTTGATGGTTAAATAGAAGACAATCACAGGAAATGCTAATATAAATTGATTGATGCAAATCTGATCTTTTTTATAGTCTCTTTTTCTTTTCTGTCTTCTTGTTGCCGATGTATATATTTCAAACACTCATTAGTGTGATGGACATAAGAACAATACGGGGCTAAAACGTTCGAGAAACCTTTTCTGAATTTTTTTTTTTTAGACTTTATTTCTAGAAAAACTTCATTGTTTAAATAAAAAAAAGAAAACAGTGGATCAAATTTCAAAATACAGTAAAGAAAGTTGAATTCCAGCAATCGTAAACCAATTTTTTAATCTATGAATATAAATCTTTAAATATTGTTTCACATTCAACAACCTACTGTGGTGACGAATAAACATCATAGAATTGTAACCGACGCTATTCAGCGGCATTATGTTACAGAGTTTCTG